GTTCAGGCTTTTAATCCAGAGTTCAAGAAGCACGTCAAGTCAAATGTCAAATTCTCATTGTGACTTGGGAGAGAGTACTGCAGGTACCATCACCATGGCAACCTTAATGATGTGGGCATCCACAGGTGATGGACATTTAGTAATTAACAGCTTCTCTTGTCTCTGTGCCGTTTACATTCACTTGACTGGTATTTCTGTCACAGTGCTGCCACCAACACAATACGTACAACACGCGTAGCTTTACATACATTTCAGCCGTTTTCACTGTTTTGCTCAGGAGTCATTTAGAAATTAATTGAAGTTGGTAGCTTGTAACTGAGTGCATTCACATACAAGAACACAGTCATGTTTTTGTTACCTCAGAGGAGATTCCAGTGACTTGTAGTCATTTGTGAGACACACAAACACACACATGTCCATAGATACAAAGACAGGAGGCACAACAAACAAGAGACACCTTCATTCTCACCATCAAACAGTTCAAAGACTCAGTCGGAGACCTTGTAAGTGATGCAAGTGTAATTGTATCATTCCAGTTATGGAGCTTTTCTTTCTCTGTCATGTAAATTTAATTTAATTCAAAATGCTTTGTTAGCATGAATGTTAATTGAACACATTGGCAAATGGGTGTAATATAACAAATGTTGATTAAAATGAATACCATGAGCAAAATATGAAGGAAATGGCAACGAAGAAGAACAGTAAGAGTAAATATGTGTTTTTTGTGTGTTTGTCAGTGTGTTGTGTGTATAATAGTTGTTGTCAAGATTATAATTTGTCATTTTCGGTGATGTTTTCATCGTAGTGTCCTTCAGCTCTTTGGAATGTCGTGCAGCGTCCCTCAACTGAGAGAATCTGTTGCTCTTTGCTGTCACTCAGCTCTGTGAAGTTGGAGATTAAAAAAATCAATTTTTTGAAAATATTCCACTCTGATATCATTATATTTGTCACATTTCCAGAGGAAGCGTCTCTCTGCTTCTACCCCATCTGTCGTGCTTTGACCACAAACTCTTTCATCTGTTGGCAGACAGAATTTCTTGTGTTGTCCTCGACTGTGGTCAGCGGCTCCGTCTCCGCTTTGTAGCTCTGACAATAAAGAGATTTTTCTGCTTATTTATATTCATAGTTTAGGGCCAAATAGCAATTAAGTTTGTTTGGGGTTTTGCTTTGATTCCTCTAAATGGTCCAGATAAGCATCTTTTGTTAATATAATCATTAGTGGCTGGAGAGCAGAGTTGCTCTGAGGCTGGACAGCGTTGGGTTTTATCTCATCAGTAAGTCTC